TAGTTAAATTTGTGTCTTTTAGGCTGCAACAGTTCCATGATACATCTTCAAGGATATGAACATGCACGGCTAAGCACAATTAATAACAGTGCATCTAAATTCCAAAATCAATCTCCACAATAAACTATGTGTTTCCTATTGCCAAAGGGGCCCTTTAGAATAGTGAGAGAAGATCTTCACCCTGAAACCTACAGCGTCCCTTTTCATCAGGGAGTAGCTAAGAGAATACACCATCCCCTTTTCCTTAAGAATCAGGGTGAAGTCTCTCTCAGCGAGGAGTCATAGGGAATGGCAAAGGATACACTGACAAAGGAGATTAATCAGAACTGGCTTTGAGAAGCACTGTGGCAATGGGACAATTAAAACAGATTTTCAAGGGGGGGAAAAAAAGAGGAACGAACTGTGGGGGATAGAGAAAAATAGTGCAACAATGAAAGAATGGAAATCCAAAATCTCTGTAAATGTTTATGAAAATTAATAAAATTTAATAAAAATAAAATTTAAAAAGTAAAAATTCCAATTTAAATCTGTGTACAACATAAAACAAAAAAAGTATATATATTTCCTTTTAATGTGACTAAAATATTAATAATATCTGCAAGTTTATAGACTGTATTTTTCACATAATAACTACATTTTATGTATTTTCCAATGTCATTTAACAGTTTGTTGTATCCTAGCAGCTACTTTCAGGGTATTTTCTCAGAAGATAATTACAGCTTGAAATTCTAGAGGAAAATGCTTCTATCTTACCAGAAGTCCTAGGACTTTCTGTTGAATGGATGATTCAGTAGGGAAGGACTGTAAAAAAGAAGAGAAATCTGTAAATACACAAAGAACCAAACATAATCAATCCATCACTAAGTGTCAAAATCATAGACTCAATTTCCATTCTAACCTCAAGGACTCTCATGAAGAGCTCTAACCCTTGGTTTTCAATAAAGTGTCTGCACGTGGTTGGGGACTCATCGGTGAGGTTCCAAAGCGCACTCAATGTAAACTTCAAAGTAGTGTCCACTGAATTTTGATTGGTTTTCTGCTTCACTATTTGAAGAAGTTGCTAAAAGAAAAAAAGTTCTCATTATTGAATTGTAATAACTGCAAGTCCCTAAGGGAATGGCTTACAGTATTTTCCTTAAAATAAGTACTTCAAAGGGATCTTTGGCTGAAACTATTTTAAACAGAAAAAAATATCTCAGAATCTTTACAAATAATTATCTTCTTATATTATGATTATATCTCCTTCTCTAGTCAACGCTAAATAACAGTTGAAAGCAAAATGTTAAAATATTAGGACAACTATCTTACACAATTGCATAAGCTTTGGATATACTTCATATCTTGGGATAAGGAAAGGTGGAAGAAAAAAGCATATGAAGCTAGTAATTATTAAGCATCAGCAAACTATATTCTATATTGTAGTATGCTGTTATTGTGTGCCGTCAGTCAGAACCGAGCCATAGTTACCCCTCCAGTGGGTTTTCAGAGCCAATTAAACACACAGGAAATTTTCCATCCTTCTCCCATGGAGCAGCTGGTGGATTTGAAACATGTGCATTTAGGACTGTAGTGTAGTTTCCTGCTACTAGGCCACAAGAGCTCCTATTTTATAGTACAGTTAATCCAAATAGGCAGGCATTAATGGAGTAGAAGAAATATGATCATAGCCCTCAAATCTATAAGAAACAGTATAAAGGGCAAGGCCTATTCCACCTAATCAAGTTTTCATTTTCTCTCATTGCTGTTGAGTTGGAACCAACTCAGCTGACTCTGCAGCAGATTTTCAGAGGCTGGAAAACTCATGGATGTAGACTGCCTAACTTTCTCTCAGAGAGCAATAGGTGAATCTGAACTGCCTGTCTTTGGGTTGGCAGCATAATTTCTGCCATTAGTGCACCAAAACTCCCTAAATTTTCCTTAAGAAATACAAAAAGGATAGTTTTGAAACTCTGTAAATTATTTCTACCATAGCTTTTCACTTTTATAGTTTTGAGGGTAAAAGAGACCTCTGCTGAATCAGTTATTTTTTTAAAATGAATATTATTATTAAAGGTACTACCTAATACAAGGGAAAAATGAAGAAAGAAAAATAATCTAAGTACAGTTAGGTAACTTAATGGGCTAATGGTTAAAGTATAGCATTAGAATCAGGCTGGTTATACAGAAATAGAATCTCTGTCCCTGACCAGCTGTGTAGCACTCTTTACCCCTTTCTGTAGCTTCTCAATTATACATTAAGAGTGATAATTAAAAGGTCAAAAATAAATGTTTGCTTTCACTACCACCATTATTGTTTTTGAGAACTAAGGTGCGTCTGATTCAGGCCATCATCTTTCTGACTACAGCTATGCATCTGAGAGCTGGACAATGAATAAGGATGACAGAAAAAGAACTGACACCTTTGAACTTTGCTGTTGGAGAAGAGCACGGAACATTCCATGGACGACCAAGAAAATGAATAGCTATGTCCTGGAGAGGATGCAACCAGAGTGCTCTTTGGAGGTAAGAATGATGAGGCTTTGCCTAATATACTTTGGGCATGTTGTTAGGAGGTTCTATTCCTTGGAGAGGGACATGATGTTGGGAAGGGTGGAGGGTCAGAGAAGGAGAGGAAGACCCTCAACCAGGTTGACTGACAAGGTGACTGCTGCAATGGGTTCTTGTGTTCCAGGAAATGTGAGAATGGAACGGACAGGACTGGTTTCAGATCTTTGGGTTACTATAAATTGTACTCAACTTGATGGCAACAACAACTGGTACCAGGGATGCTGACTGTGGATCTAAGTAAGATGAAATAATTGACTGTTTCAGTTCTTTATCCATCTATCATTATGTTGCCCATTAGCATTTCTAAATTTATAAATTGTTTGAAAACAGACTGTCACATCCCTCCCCATAGAATAGCCAGTGGGTATAAAGAATCAACATTTTAGTTAGAAATAGAATACTTTAACCACTTGCGATGTTGGCTGTTTTTAGCCTTTAGTTAGTCCTCATGGTATTCAGCTACCTTAACTACAGACACACAGTCTTGCAAATCAGCACCAGCTCTGGGACTAGGATCAGAGAAAGAGTGCTTTTCCACACTGAGCTGCAAGACTAGAGACGAGCAAGACTTATGGCAGCAAGGCTTGAGGGAGACTGGAGCAGACCCTTTAGTGAGACTTTGGTCATGGTTTTGGAGAAATTGTGACATTTCTGTGGACAAACTGTGACAAGGTGTGATCTGAGGTTTCTTGCCTGTGTTTCGGTCACAGTTAAAGGTTTTGCTGTTCCTGCTTGGAGGCAAACTGTGCTGGATATAACTGGTTACAACTACTCTGAGGCAATCTGTTCAATCCAGGTGCCGAGCAAATTATCTGAGAAGCAGGACTCTATGAAGAGGAGTGTGACATCAGGATTGGAGAGAGACTCATCAATAACCTGTGTTATGCAGATGATACAACCTTCCTTGCTTAAAGTGAAGAGGACTTGAAGCACTTGTTGCAGAAGATCAAGGAATGCAGCCTTCAGTATGGATTGCATCTCAATGCCAAGAAAACAAAGATTCTTACTATTGGACTGATAGGCAATATCATGATGGATGGAGAGGAGATTTAAACTGTCAACAGCTTCATCTTGCTTGGATCCACAATTAACACCCTTGGTACCAGCAGTCAGGAAATAATGTGCATTATCTTGCACTGGGAAAATCTGCAGTTAGGGACCTTTCCAAAATATTGGGGAGTAACAATGTCAGTTTGAGAACTTAGGTGTGTCTGATTCAGGCCATGGTCTTTCTAACTACTAGTCATGCATCTGAGACCTGGATAATGAAAAACGTTGACAGAAAAAGAAATGACACCTTTGAGCTGTGGTTTTGAAGAAGAGTACAAAACATATATGGACAGCCAAGAGAAGAAACACACATCTTGGAGAGGGTACAGCCAGAGTGTTCTCTGGAGGCAAGAATGAGATTTCACCTCACAGACTTTGGACATGTTGCTACGAGGAGCTGTTCTTTGGAGAAGGACATGATGCTGGGAAAGGTAGGGAGGTGATGAAAGAGAGGAAGACCCTCAACCAGGTAGACTGACACAGTGACTGCTGCAATGGGTTCTTGTGTATCAGGAAATGTGAGGATGGTGAAGGATAGAGCAGGGTTCAGGTCTTTTGTTCATAGGGTTGATATGAGTTGTATTCTCTTTGGCAGCACCTAACAACAACAACACCAAGAAGTATGAGGCAAACTTGGCTAGATGATTTGGAATTGACTGCTGAACTGAAACCAGAGCCTGGATTTACTGAGGAATTGTGCCTTGGAACCATTGGGCTAAAGCCTGGACTTATGAGAGGTACTTTGCCTCCCCCATTCAATTCTCTAATAAAACCCATTGTTGGTAAAATAACTATGAGTCAGCAATGAATAAACAAACCTCTTGTTGTTGGTGTAGCTCTAGCAGCAACATGGGGTTGGGCTAAAGGTTCTTTATTTGTTTTTTGCTGTTGGTACTGTGCTATTCTTACTCTCTAGAGCTTCTATTTCAGAGAAATGCTCATAGCCTTGTGCTCCAATGTCTCATTTTCTCCTCTTTAGATACCACTGTAACACCAGGAACAGTTTATTTTGTGCTAGTTACTTACTATCTATTCCTTCTATTATAATTTATTTTCCCCTTCTCATTTAACATTCAAGAATCTATAAAGTATTTTTTTAATCACCCCCTAAGAAAATTCTTAGACTTCTTCAAAACTGCATAGCTAATAATAGAACTGGAAATAACCCTCAATTTATCAGTTCCACTTTGAACCTATGGCTTGGTAGCATAACTTTCTATCCACTAGACCAACAAAGCTCTCTCTATGCTGCTGCTGCTGCTGCTGCTGCTGGTAATTGCCCTCGAGTGGCAGACAACTCGTAATGAATGACCCTATGAATGAAAGATCTGAACATTTGTATAACTTTCATAGTTTTTCCATGTTCATAAGTTTCTGGAGGCAAGCTATTTCCAAAGTGGATGCTACTCCTGCTTCCAAGCTTGTTTAAATCAGAAAGCTGAAGGGTGGACAGATAGAGTCCTGCTCTGTCCTGCCAATCTCACTGTCTTCGACACACCTTCCCCCATTTTCCTAGTCACTGAATCAATCCACCTCATAGAGGGTTTCCTCTTCTGCGCTGTCCCTCTACCCTCCCAAGCATGACGTTCTTCTCCAATGACTGGTCCCTCCTTGTAACATGTCCAAAGTATGTCAGACAAAGCTTCAGAATACTTGCCTCCAAGAAACAGCCTGATTTAACTCTCTCTAGGTTCAACCTGTTCATTTTCTTAGCAGTCCCTGGTATATTCAATACTCTCTTCCAAAACTACAGCTCAAAGGCATCAATACTCCTTCTATCCTCCCTAGTCATTGTCTAGCTCTCTGATGCATAGCAAGTAATTGCAAAGACCATGGCTTGTACGAGGTGCACCTTAGTCTCCAGAGCAACACCAATGCTCTTCAGTATTTTGGAGAGGTTCCTAACAGCAGACTTTCCCATCGTAATATATCTTTTAATTTCCTGGCTGCTGGTGCCAAGGGTGTTGACCGTGGAGCCAAGCAAACTAAAGCTGTGAACAATGAACAATCTCAATATCTTCACTATCCATCCTGATGCTACCAATTGGCCCAGTGGTGAGAATCTTTGTTTACTTGATATTAATTTACTTTTTTTTTAAAAAAAAATTTTAATGAAAAATTTATAAAGAACTTAGATTTCCATTCATTCATTCATTCATTGTTGCACATTTTCCTCCTGCTCCCCTCCCCACCGCCAATTCACTTTTTTCTTTGGAAAAAAAATTATTTCATTGTTATACAGAGCTGTCCCTCCCCACCCACCCCCATCCCCGGACCACTATGCAACTCTTATTCTGGGCTCTTGTCATGCCAATAATACCTAATCATATATTCCTTTTAAACAGTTCTCTCTCTTATCTGTTTCAATGCCATGTACATTATTTATCTCTTTTCTTAGTTTCTTCCCAGCCCCCATCTCAGTCCTATTCTATAACAGTGGCATTATGCAGTATTTGTCTTTTTGTGCCTGAGATATATTTCACTCAGCATAATGTCCTCCATTGTCACCAATTCTGTATAATATTTCATGAGTTCTTTGGTTTTCTATATTGCATAATATTCCATTGTGTGACCATACCACAGCTTCTATCCATTTGTTGGATTGTTTCCAACTCTTTGCTATTGTGAACAAAGCAGCAATAAAAATAGGTGTACATATATCTGCTTGGGTGGCAGTTAAGGTTTCTTTACGATAAATTCCCAGTAATGGAATTGCTGGGTCAAATGGTATTTCTATTTGCAACTTTTTAAGAAAGCACCATACTGCCTTCCACAGTGGTTGTACCATTTTACACTCCCACCAACAGTGAATAAAGGTTCCAGTTTCTCTACAACCTCACCAACATTTGTTGTTTGCTGTTCTGTTAAATTTTGCTATTCTTATTGGGGTGAGATGATATCTCATAGTTGTTTTGATTTGCATCTCTCTTAGAGCTAAGGATTTTGAACATTTCTTCATGTGTTTGTCTGCCATCTAATGTCTTCTTTGGTGAATATCTGCTCATATCCTGTGTCCATTTTGCAATTGGGTTGTGTACCTTTATCTTGTATAGTTATTCTTCTTAAAGATTCCCTTTCATCCCATTTTTTTTATTACTTAATATGTAAAATATATATCATGGAGAGCTCTTGTGGCCTAATGGTAAGAGGCTGGGATGCAATCCCGAAGGCATGCGTTTTAAATTCACTAGGTGCTCCACTGGAAAAGATTGACAATCTCCTCCCCTGTGATAAACTGCCTCAGAAAACCTTCTGGAGGGTCAGCTCCAACTTGATGATACACAACAACAATGAACAGATAGAAAACATAATTGAATTATATATTATATAGAATATATGATTTTAACTCTCAATTGCATTATAGGCAAGAAAAATAACATCAGTTCCTTATTTTCTTCTGACTACAATCTATGTCTAGAGTAGAAACTCGTATTTTCTTCATGAATCACAAAATTATAGAATTTTAGAGCCGTATGTGATCTTAAGCCTTATTTAGATCCTAATGGTTACAGTAACTTCTCTAACTTCAAAAACTGAGTTTAGAAGGTTAGATTATAGGTTATCTGACTCTTGGATCAGAGTTCTTTCTATTTTTGTGAAGGAATAAAAATGATCTGAATTAAGAGAAAGTGCAAACGAACTAAGTCCATACATGTTGTTGTTGTTGTGAGGTGCCGTGTAGTTGTTGATGATTTATAGTGACAATATGAACAAAAGACCTGAGCACTGTTCATAGACTTTCTGGAGGCAAGCCATTTCAGAAGTGGATGCCACTGCTGTTTCCAAGCTTGTTTTAATCGAGAAGCTCCACCAAACACAGTCCACCATGGGTAGCCATTATCACATTTGGCACATCAGTGTCACAGTGTTTAACACCACAGCAACCACAAGTTACCTCTATACAGCAATGAACAGACTGTATATAAGTAACATTTTAAAAACAATATCAAAGACAAACATGTTCGTTCTGGACAGAGTCAAGCCAGCCTGCTCCTTGTAAGCAAGGATTCTGAGGCTTCATCTGACATACTTGGGGCATGTTACAAGGAGGGACTGGTTCTTTGAGAGGGACGTTATGCTTGGGAGGGTGTAGGGATGGATAAAGAGAGGGAGATCATTGATACAGTGACTGGGTAATGAGGGTTGGTGTGTCACAGACAGTAAGGTTGGCACAAGATAGATAGAGCAGGTTTCCGGCTTGTTGTACACAGGGTTGCTATCGATCGCAAGCAACTCAATGGCACCATAACAACATCAAAGCCACCAAAATGTCAGGAAACACGTAACACTGGAAAACTTGTTTTGAATAGCCCTGTGTATTTTAGTGTCAGTGTCATTATCTTCGGTTCTTGAAATGGTTCTGTACTGACTAATTTGGGTTTTGGTACAATGATTCTGTATATTCTTTGCATCTTTTTGTCATGTTTCTTGCATCATTCAATATATTGCCTACTGAATCCTTTAGTATTCCAACTCTAAGCTGCAATCTGTTCTTCATCTTGAGAAATGCCTAGTATGTTGTTCTTTTTTGGTTTTCTAAGTCCAGTTCTTTGTACATTTCATTATAATACTCTGCTGTCTTCTCAAAATGCCCTTTGAAATCTTTTTTCATATCTCTTCAGGATTTCTTCTCTTTGCCTTGGATTCTTTATGCTCTACTCTAAGTTTTAGAGTATTTTCTAACATCTATTTTGGTCTTTTTGTGTGATCCTATCTTTGTAATAATGATCTTTTGCTTTCTTGGTGGATGATATTACCCTCACACCTCATTTAGTCTTCAGTCATTTTATTGTCAGGTGCCATCGAGTTGAGTAAGACTCACCGTGACAGTATGAATGACCCTGTCCTATCTTGTGCTCTCCTCACAATCTGACACACTCAAGCTTATTGCTGAAGACACTTGTTGAAGGTCTTCCTCTCCTTGCCATCCCTCCACCTTTCCAAGCATGATGTTCTTCTCCAAAGAATAACTTCTCCTAGGAAAGCACGTGAGATGAAGTTTAATCACCTTTGACTCCAAGGAGCGCTCTGGCGGCACCCTCTTCAAAACTTACCTGTTTGTTCTTTTGGCAGTCTATTCAGTACTTTTTTCCAATACCACAGTTCAAAGGGATCAACTGTTTTTCTGTCATCTTTATTCATCTTGCAGCTCCCAGATTCGTAAGTGACGGAAAAGACCATGGCCTGAATCAGGTGCACTTTAGTACTCAAATTGACATCATTGCCCCTCAATAATATGGAGAGGTCCTTAACAATATACTTTACGAGTACAATACGTCTCATCTCCTGACTGCTAATAACAAGTTGTGGACTACAAGTACCATTTGTAGATCCAAGTAAGAGGAAGTCATTCACAGTTTCCATCTTGTCTCTCTCTCTATAATGATGTTGCCTTTTGGTCCAATGGCTAAGATTTTTGTTTTCTTGTTGAGTTGCAATCTGTATTGAAGGCTTCAGTGTTTAACCTTTTGCAGCCAACTGTTTCAAGTTCTCCTCATTATCAGCAAGTACTTTTCAGAAGCTTTGGCCATCAGTGTTCAATTAAAGGAGTTCTACTATCAACCCAAAGGCAGGTGGTTCGAACCTAGTAACTGCTCCACAGAAGAAAGAAATCTGTATGCTTACCGCCATTGAAAACCTAGTTGGGAGTCAGCTGTGAGTTGGTTCTAACTTAAATGCAATGAGTGAATTTTGTGACTTTTGAGATTGCATTTTAATTTAATTAGGATAGACTCAAGGTTGTATTTTCCTTCTAGTGAAATACCTTTCATTTAAACTTATACATGAGTAATTGATAATTGTTCCTGTCAGCTCTCAGCTTGGTGTTGACTCCTTACATTGGGCTTCTCCACTGATGCTTTCCATAGATGTAATCAATCTGGTTCCTTTGCAGTTCAACAGGCGAGATCTATGTAGGTATAGCTGCCATTTGTTTTTTAAAATAAGTATTTGCAAGGAATAAAATAATTAATTGCACAAAATTCTATCATGTGCTCTCTAGCCTCTCTGTGACCAAAGCCGTATCAGTCGTCCTTTGTTTTTAACTTTTTTATTTCAGTAACCAATTATTATTAATGCATTTTGATTGCACATTTGATAAATTTTAGACTGCGTAGAAATCCTCAATTTCTTCATCTCTGGATTTAGGGATTAGTGTGTATGTATGTGTTAACAGATCTTCTTGGTATGTGTAAAGATGGTATCATATCTACTCCTAGCATTGTACTTCACGATGGATCTTGAGATTTTTTTTTTTAATTTATTATTCATTTCAATGAAAATTTACAGAGACTTTGGATTTCCATTCATTTATTGTTGCACTTTTCCCCCCTCCCAATCCTGCCCCCTAGTACACTACCCTCTTGGAAAAGTAAAAGAAAAATTCTTTCATTGTTTTACAATTCATCCCCCCAGGTCCACTCCACTATGCAGCCTTTGCTCTCGACTCCTGTGGTGACAAAAATACTTAATCACATATCCCTTTTAAACAGTTTTCTCCCTCATCTCTTTCAATGCAGTATATATTATTTATCCCTCTTTTCCAGTCTCTCCCCAACCCCAGCGTCAGTCCTGTTTTACAACAGTGGAACCATGCAGTATTTGTCCTTTTGTGACTGAGATACTTCACTCAGCATAATGTCCTCCAGGGTCACCTATTTTGAATAACATTACATGAGTTCCTTGGTTTTCAATGCAGCACAGTATTCCAATGTGTGAATATACCACAGCTTCTCTATCCATTTGTTTGTTGATGGGCAGTTAGGTTGTTTCCAACTCCTTGTTACTGTGAACAAAGCCGTGATAAACATGGGTATGCATGAAATATTTTTTTAATTATGAACACACCATCCCTCTTCAATTTGTTATTCCTAGCATAAAAGATAACTGTCTGATTCAAAACGGCCAATACCAGTCCATTTCAGCTCTCTAATGCCTAAGAAGTAGATCTTTATGCATTCCATTTCATCTTTGACAATTTCCAATTTTCCTAGGATTCAGACATTGTGCATTCCATGTTCTAATTACTAATGGGTGTTTGCAGCTGTCACTCTTCACTTTTTTAGTACATTCCAACTTGATGTGCTCATTTTCCTGCACTATATCCAGCCATATTCCTGTTATTCTTAGGGTTTTTGAAGGCTCACATACTTTGTGTTACAGACTTTCAGCATGTTGTTAAGAGAGGTCAAGTACTTGGAAAAAAGACATCATGCTGGGAAAGACAGAGGGTCAGCAAAAGAGAGGATGGACTGATCCAGTGACTTTAACAATGGGTTTGAACATAGTGGAGATTGTGGGGATGGTGCAGAATAGGGCAAGGTCCAATTTGTTGCTCACAGGACAACTATGAGTTGTAGTTGATTTAATGGCTCCTAATAGCAAATAGCCTGCACAGTAAAAAATCTTAAGACTTACCCTGACAATGAAGAGTTCAGCACCAAGCTGTGCGGTCTGCTCTGTAGAAAGCTACAAACAAGCAGAAGAAAAAGTAAATGTGTGTCTAAGAGTTCATTTATTGCAACAGATACCAAGGTCAGACTAAAATCTCTGAGCATCAAAAAAAATAAAAATTAAAAAAAAAATAAAAAAATAAAAAAACAAAACAAAACAAAACAAAAAACCTCTGAGCATCCTGGAATACTGCCACAGTGAACAAGAAGGCTGACAGAGAGGCTTACTAATCTCCCTGGTATAGAGACTTTGGAGAAATGATAATTGTAATGAGAAACAGCTGCCTAGAAAGAACTATCTAGCAAGGGTTTAGGTACCTTGGCAGCCAAAATGGAAATGATAGCAACGGCCATCCTTTGCATATTTTGATCCTCATGGTTGCAGAGCCACTGCATGACAAGCTTGGCTGCTTCAAACCTGAAAGCACACAAAGGGTTTCACAGATGAATTCTGGAGGCTCTGAATGCAGTTTCAGAGCTCTAGCTAGGAAACAGTGCTACAATTTAGAAGAAAACCGAAAAGGAAATGGAAAATTCTTCTGACCTGATAAAGGAATAACAATTGCATGACATTTTAGTGATAATGTTTTCTTATTCATTTTGACAGCACTTTGTAAAGAGTTTGGAAACCAGTTAAAACTATTTGTTATTTCATATTCCAAATTTACTAGACTTATTGAGCGTAAAAATGCATAAGATTATTATAGAGGTACTCTTTCTAAACTTTGAAGTGAACCACTCTCAGAGGTTGTCTTCAATACTGGCTCATAAAATAAACACTATCAATAGTGAGTATGTTGCTAAGTCCTATTGAGTCAGAACCAACTCATAGCTGACCCTCCAGTGGGTTTCCAGAGGCAGTAAACTGGAATGTGACTGCCAATCTTTCTCTTGCCAGCTGGAGGATTCAAACTGCTTCCCTTTGGGTTGCCAGTTAGACCATTAGACCCCAGAGAATAGTGCTCCTTAAAAAAAAATTATCTGTAGAAGATGAAATGAACAACCTGTATTCTAAAACAAAGATAAGGCAGTCAGGAGGAAAAAGATAGGGAGGAAAGGACACTAGATTCTAGAAATGGAATAAACAAAGCAGAAACAAATGAGAATGTTGACACGATGTCAAAACTGTAAAACAATGTTACTGAACAACACATAAAAATTTTTTCATTGGGAATCTAAACTTTCACTAAAAACTCAGATTTTTTTTTTTAAAAAAGATGGACCTTATCAAGTTTCCAAATAATAAACATCTTAGAAAATAGAGACCTCTTATACTTAATTGAATCAAGTTTTATGGTCTCCCTTAAGCTTTTTTTAAAAAAAGTTTCTTCCCTAAGACAGTATAAATAAGAACGTATTTACTCCTAACTTATCACTAGGGAATTCCGTCAGCTAAGCCGTAAGGAATGGTGTTGTCAACCCAAAAGTACAGGGTTTGAATCCCACTCTGTGGGAGAAGGATGGGCAGTCTCTTCCTGAGTGATTCACTGTCCCTGAAAAGCTGGAGGGTCAGCTTTAGGTCAGTATCTAGGTCCCAAAGACAAGATTAGAATCTAAAGATCAAGTCATCATGCTGAAATTGGCATTACGTGAAAATTCAGTCACTAAATGCTTCTTGGCTGCAGGAGCCATTCAGGAGGTGGTCTCATTGTGCTGCTCCTTCCCCTGCAGCTTGTTTGCCTCTCTGCTCAGTGGCTTGGGAGTTGGTGAGGCAGTTGGTTTGTGCCACTTCACACCAAAGACAGAACTTCCTGGGTCAGGATTTACAGCCAGGAGGAAATCCTCTCCACCATGACCTGCTGTCTTTCCACCTGCTACCCATCAGCCCTAGGCCTTCAGGTACCCAGACAGTAGATCTCAAGTGTCTTATCTGTGTCCTTCTGCTATCTTCTCACAGACTCTAGCAGTGGCTCTAATCAGAAAGGAGGGCAATGACTAACTTGTGGTTCTTTTCTTCTTAACTCTCTTTCAATATATTCACAATTAAGACTAAGGAGAGGATTAAGATGGGAGGGTTCAAGGACTTGGGTTCAAGAAGGTGATCTTTCACTCGACACCCATTCAGGATTTAAGCAGATAAGATTGTTTTATTTATGTAAACACCAAATTTCAGAAAATAATATAGATGGTAAGTGAGGAGAAAGTGTAACAATAAGAGACATACAATAATAATTTTAATAAAACCAACATCGAACCTAGAACTCAACTAGTTAAAAAACCATGGGCAAAACAACAGAATACATCAAAAATTACCAAAAAAGTTACATAAAAAAATAGATCAGAATATGAAAAAAATGAAACAAAATAACCCTTGTTATTTTTAAAACAGAGGTAGCTTATATGAAGTGGACAAAAAAGGACTAAGAAGTAAAGACTAATCTAATTAATCTGACTAAATCTGTCAAACTACTCATTAACATCAAAATAATAATTTCCATATGTTATTGTTGAGTACCATCGAGTCAGGAACAACCCATCGTTTTTAGAAGAGGTAAATTGCACAGGAGGAGGAGAATGCCCATCTTTCTCTCACAGAGCAAGCAGCTGGCAGATTCAACTATGTGTCTTTGGATTGGGAACACAACTCCCTATTACTAGGCCAATAAAGCTCATATAGCCCTCAGTATTATGTAGCTATAAACAGTATAAATTCTTAAGCAAAGATCTATGAAAACAGGGGCTAATATGCTAGCCTGAATGGTAAAGCACTAAATTAGAGATACAGCTCTAGCATTCCGAAAGGTAACGCACAATCCTATCTATTCAATTAATCTTACCTCAGGGCTAACTAAACTGCTAAGAAATAACTGAAGAAAAATTTTGAAAATTCATCTTGCTCCATTTTAAATTTTAAGTTTATCACCTGCCTGTTAAATGGGACATCTTGAAGAATCCGGTCACTGCAAAGTGAAAGGAGGCAATTCTTCTGTAACTAAAAAAAAAAATCAAAGAGGAAAAAAAAATTAAATAAAACAACACTTTATTGTTATTTTTAAAAGAGCTAGCATCTATGAAGTGGGGAAAAGGATGTAAGAAAGAGTAATCTAGTAAGACACCGATAACGTCTTATAACCTTTATTCAGCTCACTTACAAAGGCCAGCTTACACTGGAGCCACCTAAGTTTACCTGCACATATTCTTTTCCTGTCTTTTTCTATTAGCTAAGAAACTTCACAGAAAATTCCTGCTAATCTCCTTCACTCCTGGTGGCCAGTCTTGTCTTTTGTGGAAAATGAGAGAATGGTAAAAGCAATGGTTGAAAATTATGACTGATAATATACAAAACTCAAACTTAATTACCATCAAGTCAAAACCAACTAATAGCTGACCCTCCAAATGGGTTTTAGGAGGCTGCAAATCTCACAGGAGTTCTCTTTCTCTTGCAGAGCTGCTGGTGGGTCTAAACAGTATCAAATTTGCCATCTTTGGGTGAGCAGTTCAATTCCCTACAAACTATGCCAGCAGAACTAAGGAATATAAAAACTTAAGCCTCTCTACTTCAACAGTAGCTTGGTTGTAGACTAGAGAAACGGGACGAGTGTTCTACAAATTGTCTTCTAAATAGAGTGACTCACAGACTTGATTCTAACTTTTTAAAATTTTATTTAAATTTACTATTAGTTTCAGTAAAAATTTCCATTCATTCATTGTTGCACTTTTCTCCCCTCCCAACCCTACCCCCTCGTACACTACCCTCTTGGAAATGTAAAAGACAAATTCTTTCATTGTTTTACAAACCCTCCCCCAGGTTCACTCCACCATGTAGCCATTGCTCTAGAATCCTGTCATGACAAATATACCTAATCACATATCCCTTTTAAACAGTTTTCTCCATCATCTCTTTCAATGCAGTATACATTATTGAACCCATCTTTCTCAGTCTCTCCCCAACCTCGAGGTCAGTCCTCTTTTACAATAGTGGCACCATGCAGTATTTGTCCTTTTGTGACTGAGATGCTTCACTCAGCATAATGTCCTCCAGGGCCACCCATTTTGGATAATATTGCATGAGTTCCTTGTTTTTCAATGGAGCATAGTATTCCATTGTGTGAATATACCACAGCTTCTCTATCCATTCGTTTGTTGATGTGCACTTAGGTTGTTTCCAACTCCTTGCTATTGTGAACAAAGCCGCAATAAACATGTGTATGCATATATCTGCTTGGATGTCAGTGATACTAACTTTTTTAAACAGTAAATACAATTAAATAAAAATGAATGAAGGGAAAACATTCATCAACATAATGAAGGTATGCCATAATAACAGAATGGAAAATGGCATTAGTCTCAGGAAACAAAATTAAAACTTTTGAAGTGTTGTTGCTGTTAGGCGCCATCAAGTTGAGTATGACCCTTCACAACCCTCTGAACAACAGATCTAAACTCTGTCCTATCCTGTGCTATACGTATACTTCCTGACACATTAGAGCCTACTGCAGCAGTCACGTCAATACACCAGAGGATCTTCCTTCTCGTCGCAAAAACCACTACCTTTCTGAGCATCACATCACCTTTCCTCTTATTAACATGCCTGAAGTTTGTGAGGCCAAGTCCCATCATCCTTGTCTCTAAAGAACACTATGGCTGCATCTTCTCCAAAGCCTATTTGTTTGTTCTTATGGCAGTCCATGGGATGTTTAGTACTCTTCTCCAACACTACAGCTCAAAGGCATCAATTATTCTTCTGTCATCCTTATTCACTGTCTAGCTCTCAGATGCCTAGTAAGTGATTAGAAAGACCATGACCTGAAATGGACACCTCACAGTCCTCAAACTGCCATCAATAATCCTCAATAATTTGGAGAGATCCCTAACTGCAGACTTTCCCAGTAAAATACATCTCCTAATTTACTGACTGATGGTACTAAGGGTGTTAATTGTGGATCCAAGTAAGATGAAGTTGCGGACAGTGTCTATCTTTTCTCCATCTATAATGATGCTTCCTAGCAGTCCAATGGTTAAGAATCTTTGTTTCCTTGACATCAAGATGCATTCCGTACCGAAGGCTGTATTCTTTGATCTTCTGCAACAAGTGCTTCAAGTTTTCCTCACTTTCAGCAAGCACAGTTGTGTCATCTACATAACACAGGTTACTGATGAGTTTCCTCCCAATTCTGATGCCACATTCCTCTTCAGGGTCCAGCTTCTCGAACAAGTTGCTCAGAATACAGATTGAATAGCTTTGGAAGAATACAACCCTGACACACTCCCTTCTTAATTTTAAACCATGCAGTGTTCCCTTGCTGTTCCCACAACAGTGTACTGGCCTTGATTAAGTGCTCTGGGATTTCCATTCTTTTCAATGTTAGCAATAACTTGTTAGGATCCACACAGTCAAATGCCTTTGCATAGTCAATAAAGCACAAACAGATTCTTCTGGTATTCTTTACTTTCAGCCAGGATCCATCTGACATCAGCAATGATATCCCTGGTGCCAGGGCGTCTAAATCTTGCTTGAACTTCTGGCCATTCCCTATCTATGTACTGTTCCAGGCATTGTTTTAATGATCTTCAGCGGTATTTTGCTTGCATGTGACATTAATAATATTGTTCCATAGTATCCACACTCAGTTGGATCATCTTTCTTGAGAATGAAAACAAATGAGGACCTCTTGTAATCCATTGGCCAGATAGCTGTCCTCCAAATTTCCTGGCATAGACTGGTAAGTGCATCCAAGGCTGTATCTGTTAATTGAAACAAGTCAGTTTTGATTCCTGGGGCCTTATATTTTGCCAATTCCTTCAATGCAGTTTCCATCTCCTCCTTTATCACAACTGGCTCTTGCTCATACAGTACTTCCTGAAATTTTTCAGAGCCTTTGTGATTTAAGAATAAGCCTACCTAAGAGCCTCTCGCTTGAAGCAGTTGGATTCTGGAAGGTAGGTAGTTTTGATTTCATTAACAAACAGATGTAAGCTGTTTGGTTGTTCTGATTTAATTAACAATAAGTTGTGGGCTAGAAACATCTTGTTTTTGATAAGGTGTGGGTGGAAATAAAATTCATAATACATATTACTAATTTTTTAAGCCTGGATAAGTGATCTTATAAAACTTTGTATATAGTTGAAAAAAGAAAATTCATTTTACAGAATTTGGTCAGAGAACAAAATCAAAATTCAGATTAATGGGACATCCTACTGGTAAGAAGTTGTACTGTTAACTCAAAGGCACATGGTTTGAACCCACCAGTTGCTCCAAGAAAGAAAGTTGAGCAATCTCTTCCCATGTAATTTAGAGCCTCCAAAACCCTCTGGAGGATCAAATATGAGTTGATTCCAACTCAAGGGTATATAATAACAGTATCAGTAATAAGAGCACAACTAGTCAAGGAGTTAAGAAAAACAAAACACCAATATCCTATTTGTTTTATCAAAGATACATAGAGATTATATAACAAAAAGAATGGTAGATACATATTTAATGAAGGTGGCTTTTCTTTACGTTTGGTATTCAGTAGAGGTAATCAAGGCGATGAGCTGGATTCTATGCTAGGGGATCCATCTACCTTCTCAGCAATCGGAAGAGTCATCTACAAAACGTAAAAAAAGTAGCTTTCTCTCTACTCCATTATCCAAGCAGACACATTAATTTGTACAAGATTAATGGATATAAGCAAGATAATAAAGCCATTTCTATTATCCCTCTTTGGAAAGTCAAAGTCCTAAACCCCGGGGTTTTTTTTACAACACAGCTTAAGGTACATTATACTCTATAATAAATTTCCTCCTAATTTTTTAAATGACTTTTCAATGCTCCAAATAGTACCTATTTCTATTTTGGTATTTGCCACATTAGACTGCATTATGTACTCCCATGTCTGAATTCACAGACCTTAATGCAGGTACGCATAGCTTGAATTAACTAAGGAGTTGCTAAGTTTAACTAGCTAAAACAGGAATAGAAGATAAGTTTTTTCTCCCATTTAGATTTACAGTCTTGGAAACTCACTGGAGGGTTGCTATGGGTCAGAAACAGCAGTGAGTTTGAGGAGTTGTTTTTTTTAAAAAAACCACCATAGCTAGTTACTAGAACATGCAAGAGTATAAGGAGTAAGAATACAATGAGACCAATAGTGATATAAAACACAATGAAGTGGAATGATAGTATAAAACACAATGTGAATGAAGAACAGTGTGCAATACAATAGATAGGAACTTTGTAAGCAAACCAATTAAAAAATAATTTTTATTTATTTATTTTATGTGTGTACCGTCAAATTGGATCTGACTGGTCCAGGAGGCGATTGTTCCTCCTTCTTCAGCAGAGCATCTGGTGGATTTGAACCGTGCACCTCTGGGATTGCAATGCAGTTTCCTACCACTAGGCCACCAGAGCTCACCAAAAAATAATTTTTTTAAAAAAAGAATACAATGAATATTTGTGTACTTATCATCTAGTTTATTTGTAGAGGTGGGATGCATAAATAACACACTGCACTTGCCCTTCTCATTTCTTACTATTTCCTCTCCTCAGAAATGCCATTAGCAGGATTTATATTTAATTTAGAAGTCTGGGGTTTTCTACGTTATTTTAGCGTATTTTTGCATCCCTTAAGTAGCATACACATAGATAGATTTACAAGTTTTTGAACTTTTAAGTGGATAGAATTACTTGCATATGCTTTTCTGAATTTTATAATCCTAAACTTATAGAGTTCAACCTAAATTTAGTCTGGAATTACAGATCAATCATCATTCATTCCTTTTAAATATCCTAGGACATCTGGTTGGTTCCAATTTGTTGTCATTACAAACAGTGTTATTACAAGTATTCTTTTTTTATTAAATAAAAACAGGAACAAAGCTAAACAAGAACTTTATTAAGATAAATAATTCACATATACAATTTGCTTTTTTATGTGTATAAGTTAATGACTTAGAAAAGTGTAACCATTACAATTTCAGAATATTTATTATCCTAAAAATAACCCATCTCAATTACTACTCATCACCTAGCCCTCCTTGTATTGGGTCCTAATCGGATTTATATGTACTTTCTTTCAGCTTTCCTGGATCAATTTTGTAAAAAATTTGACAATATTATTCAATGTTCTAATAACCAGTTCTTGGCAAAGCTGATCTCCAATTCAATAGCATGTTTGCTTTCTACTTATTGTTTTTTATTTTAAACTTTATTATTGCCATCCTTCCTCACAGTTTTTTAATTGTACAGAATGAACAATATTCTTACAATAAGAAGTACACTTTTGAGGAAAAAGAATGTCATAGTTGTCATAGATCTATCAGATTCCACACTTAAAGTGAGTTACAAGTTTTGTTTTCAATCCACCTGACTTTCAAATAATGTAAAATAAAAAGTCTAAAGTTCTTCATCTAACTTAGCAACTGTCTTAACAAGTGAAAATGTCCTCAATGATACATTACATTCAACATACTAGATTTCATTTTCATTTGTTTTGAACTTTTGGGGTTGTTGTTGTT